ATTGATTGACAACGATGAAGAAAACACGTTGCACATTGTTGCCGCTCTATTAGCCTCACTTTGGCCAATAGTGCCACTTGCTGGACTAGCTTGACTGCTGGTTGGCTGCTAGAGTTGGCCCACATTAACTGTGATCGGGTCACAAGAATATTTCTCAGTGTTTCTCAATCTATCTTCAGTTTTGAACTTATTTTCGTACAGCAGCAACTTTTTTCTTTGAGAACGGATCAAACTTATATTTTGAGTGAAAATTAAAAAAAAAACAGTTTAAATACAGTTTTATTCATTAATTATATTGTATGTATGTATATATGTATGGAAGTATGTATGTATATATACTTGTATGTATATATGTATTTATGGATGCATGTCTATTAAATGTCAATTCTTTCAGATCATCGTCCAAAAGGTTTCAGACGGCACCAAGGATTGATTAATAATATATTTTAAAGCTAAAAAAAATGGATTTGCCATCGATTTTAGACTTTGATTCAAATATTTTAAAATATTTGAAATAATTCAGGCTCACTAGAAAACACACTTCGAGATTTTCAAGATCTTCGAGCTCTCTATATATTATATATAATTTAAATATAATTTTTGGAATACATTTAAAATAAGCTCCGAATTTTCAATCTCTTATAGGCTGAGTCCTTGACTAGTGTACAGCTGCAAAGTAACATCTACTGAATATTTTATTTTTCAAATCAAATTAGCACCAGGTACAAAATGTACTTAAGTTGCAACGGCTTAAAGGATATGTTACCATACAGGTACCACCTACATAACAGCTAAAGAAATAAACTTTTTATTGTGTTATTATATGTTTCGATAAGAAAAGTATAGAAACAGCTCTGACCCAATACAAAAAAAAAACGTTTTTTTAATAACAAAAGGAAAGAATATCAATATTTTTTCACAGGTATCCAGCTATTGACCATCTCCAGTTAACTGCTAATTTTGTGCCAATTGTGCGTTCCATTGAGTTTTATGTGCCATCGACGTTGAAACTGGCTATTGGCTACTGGAAGCTGTGTAATTGACGCCATGTACGAGCATCACTTTGGCATGTGTGCAATGTGCATTGTGCAGCATAAAAACTTGATTAGAGCGCGCTGGGAGCTCGGCAGGAGCAGCGGTTGACGGGGCTCTGGACAATTACTAACCCGATGCCAACATGGACAAAGGCACATGGTCGAACAAATGCTACGCTTTGTGGGCAAATTAGCTGGACGAGAAAACAAAGCTCTGCATTGCAATGCGAATGCAAATGCAAATGCCAGCAACGATAAACGTGCTGGCGGAGCTGAGGCTTCAGCTGGACCAGACGCCGTCACAGACATCAGAGAAATGGACGCGGCATCTGTGGCCTTCAACAGAAGCGACGGCAGCGGCAATCGCCACATTAGCAGCTCTTCTGGTCATTACCTCTTTTTTCTTTTTTCACTGTTTTTTTGTTCTTCACGCATTTGGACAACAAAAGACCGCCCGCTGGGTTTTGGACGCGCGTGCGTGCCTTGTGCTGGCTTTTAGCGCGTTTTAGCAAACAATGAAAACGCTTTTCAATTCTTTTGGTTGTTGTTGTGCGGCTCTGCTGCATTGCTAACATGGGCTACCGATGGCCCGTCACGTCAGCTCATCTGGAATTCAGGCTAAAGCCAGAGCTTTCCATACTCCATTCCGTGTCAATTTCTGAAATGTCGCACGAGTGAATAGTAACTGAGACTAAACATATGTTAACTGGAATTGTCCTAAAAGCTTAAAAGCCAATTAACATTAGTGTCATCTATTTTAAACTGTTTCTATAGCCTCTATAAATGAGTATCGTCTGCCAGCGTAAGGTCAACTTACACCGAATGCGTTAAGACCCGTTTGGAATTTCCTTGGGCTAATGTTTGGGGAGCCATGAAATTCAATTCCTTTTCGAAAATGCCATTGTACGATGTGTGAGCTATAAAATGTAAGTTGAGGCGGCTTATCTTTTAAGAACTTTTATTTTTAGGTGCATTGGAGCGGAGCAGGGGGCGACTTGGCACTTCAAACTTTGCGCATCGATGCAAATCGATCATCAAAATTTACGAGTCACTGCTCGGAAGTGCGTCGTAAAATTGCGCCCAGAAAACTAATTAAGTACATAAAATGCGAATTAATGGCTTTCAAAGTGCCGTAAAAAATGCAGAGCGCAACAATTAGCCAAAAGTCCTTACGATATGGCTCGAGGATGTGCAAATGCAATGGAATGCGAATATGTTGTTGTCAGCCATAAAAGCAAAACGAGACTTCAACTGGGCCTGCCCAATGTGGTACTGAAGTGGAAGCGGCCTTTTGGCAATGAAAACAAAAAAAAAGCTGGCAACCAATGCAAAGTCGTTAAAAGCAACCGAAGTTGTTGCCGGAAAGAGACCAATCGTAGTACAGTTGCCATCTGAATACTCTGCAGTTGACGTCTTGCCACATGGAAGGCTCTTTTTAATGAAATGCAGGCAGAGTCTAGGACAGATCCATTGTACTTGCGTTGGGTAGGGCATTATTGATGCCAGGGACGGGATATAGAGAAGCATTCGAAAACTTTTTAATTTAATGCATCGTCGTAAAAATTGGATACTTTGTTAGCGAGTCGGCTGTAAAAATAGTTTTGCTTTGCCTCTCTGATTCGCTTTTGGTTAGCTTTCCCCCACTGTCTCTCTCTCTCTCTATCTCGCTCTCTCTTCATCTGTCTCTTCCTGTAGCGCCCGTCCGCGTCACGAGCTGTCAGCCAAAGTTGACCTAATAAGCAACTTGGCAAAAGTTTCCATTTCAGTTTCAGTTGCAGCCTCAACTTTGAACTGGCTGCCATTGGACCAGCTAGAGAAGAGGATTAGGCCAGGCTAACGCGCACCGCGTGACCGTTTCAAATTAAAATAAATTAAATGCGGCGCGCGCGGTCGCAAATGTCAAAACTGTTTGCGGCTCAATTAGCCGCACTGTCAAAATTTACGTACAGAGCAGCCGGTTCGACGAGGCCTGCGCGAGGCATGGCGCATGGCGCGCACAGATGATGAACTGTAAATTGGATGTGGCTGTCTCGTTGATAGTGGATGTGGATGAGGATGAGGAACCCGGCAGAGAGCAAGACTGGCAGGAGCACACAGCAAGCCAGCAGCATCAACTCAAAACTTCTGTATATGATGAAAGCTGTCCCGAACATGCCTTGCCAGCCAAATCTCATGCTGTCGCTCGGTCCTCCGCCTTAAGCAAGCTTAAAAGTTGTTGCACGAAACTTTTACTGCCAATAAGCAGTAAAACAAAGGATTTGTCAGATTTTGAAACAATAATTTTAAGCAGCGGTGTAAATAAAGTAAAGTGAAAGCCAAGTTAAATAAAATAAAATTAAAATAAATAACATTTGCAAACACACTTTCAGCCCAAGTGCGTTCAATACCCTGTAGCAGCTGAAGACTTGCTGCTCTGGCAATAATATTCAGCTGGAGACTTTTCAGAATGCACAATAAATATTATTTCTTATACACATTTTGTTAAATTTACGATAACCTAAACACCTTAGGCCATGGGCATGACACCTGAAGACTGCAGAGCTGGCTTGAAGAAGACTTCTTGTTGCTCATTGCAAGACAGTTTGACAAAGCTGCTTAGGGGGAGAGACTTGGTTCTTATAAACGAAGTGTTTATCATATGCATATGCGCTTAGTACTTCTTACTTCTTACTAATTGCAAATGCGAGAGTTTAGAGTGTAGAGTCTCGAGTCTAGGTCATAGACACGATTACCTCTAATTAAGCTGGGTTCTGCACAGCAGACACAGCTTCAATGACCAGACAACGCCCACCGAGAGCTGAAGCATGTGCTGCCGTCAGAGACGTTTGGCGCCATCGTGAAGAAACATGACATTTTAATTGGACAGCCGGTGGCAACAACACCTGTACAGAGTAAATGTTAGAGGGAGAGGGCGATGGGAGATGGGAGAGAGGAGCGTGGAAGAGGGCCATTCAAATTACCCGAAAAGCAGAGCAAACGATTTGGTTTCTAATTAAACGACAATTGCAAATGTTTGGTGGCATTTAGTGAGACGACCAAGAGAGAGAGAGAGAGAGAGAGAGAAAATATTGCAGCTCTGTATGCGGACGTCAATTGTCACTGATCTAAATTTATGCAAATTGGCAGCTGCAACCTGTGTCCAGCGCACAATGCCTCTGTATGAGTGTGTGTCTGCTCGCTGTGGGATGCGTGTTGAACGTTGGCCACATTTCATTTTGCACGCGCCTCCAGTTCGCAGTTCGTTTGCCCTCTTAATGGCCATGCAACAGTGCAACAGTGCAACAGTGCAACAGTGCCAAGCCATTCATTTGGCTGGAACAGGAGCAGCAGCCCCAGCAGCAGGAGCAGTAGCTGCCAGTTGTTGCTAGTTGGCACTTTGGCTGATTATTAAATCACAAGGCGAACTGGAAGCTGGCAGCTAGCAGTGGCAATCTGATATGCAAAATCCCGACTAGTTTAGCTCTCAGCTGCATTAAAGTCGCAAGTTACAACAGGCAAGGGATCCAGCTGCAGTTAAATTTCTGCGAATAAATGTGTGTGTGTGTGTGTGTGTGTGTTAATTACAGCTCTGGCAAGAAGGGAACTGGCAAACGGCAACTTGTTAAAAATTTCCGCTGCCAGTTTATTAGAGGGCAGCAGCTCCATAGCCCCAGCCCTCTGCCCCCCTCCCCCCTTCATTCCGCGTTCTCTTTTCCAGCCTTTCTTTCTAGCGACTTGGCAATTAATTGGAGCTTAGCTCAACCTGTTTTAATAAGAGCGACTCTAAGATGACGACAAGTGAAGTGCGAGATTTCGGCTAAGACTTCAAATTAGCTGCTGCTGCTAGCGAAAATCCACAGATGCACTCGGAGTATGAATGAAGTGAGTGCTTGAGCTCTATAAGAAACTCAATTTATAAGTGAAACCTCATTAGCTTGACTTGCTCTAATTAGCTAGTGGATTGCTAGCCGATTACGCCATGATTTTCACATCAATAATTATTTTCTAAATTCCAAATTTGGGATTCAATTCATTTCTAAATTTGGCTATTTCGGCTGTTAGTCTTTACACTTTAGCCATGGCCCTGGAAGCAATATCTGGCGTGAACAAGCTGCCCTTCATGAATAAGTTCGATGAGGTGCAAAAGAATTGGGATCTGCAGCAGATTGAAATGGCCACCAGCAACTTTACCAATCCCTATTCATTGATGGCTCCGCCCTTTGAAAATGTATCGAGTGAGGCTTTGTATCTGAGACACATTAACTATTGAGCCTCTCGCTTGCAGCCAGCCGTAAATCTTCCCAAAATTCTGGAGCACTGTAAGGTGCGCATGGACTTTGATCATGGCACCACGACGTTGGGCTTCAAGTATCAGGGAGGCGTGGTGCTCTGCGCGGACTCGCGAGCCACTTCCGGCCAGTATATTGGATCGCAGACCATGAAGAAGATTGTGGAGCTTAATAATTATATGCTGGGCACCTTGGCCGGCGGCGCTGCGGACTGCGTCTACTGGGATCGCGTGTTGGCGCGCGAATGCCGGCTGCATGAGCTGCGCTACAAGCGCCGAATCGCGGTGGATGCTGCGGCACGAATGATGTGCAACATATGTGCCGAGTACAAAGGCATGGGTCTTGTCATGGGCATGATCCTTGCCGGCTGCGATGATGAGGGCAGCAAACTCATCTACGTGGACTCGGAAGGCATGCGATCGCATGGCAGCGTTTTTTCCGTAGGCAGCGGATCACCGTACGCTCTGGGCGTGCTAGATACCGGCTATCGCTGGGACATGACCAACGAGGAGGCATTCGACTTGGCGCGTCGTGGAATTTACCATGCCACCAGAAAGGATGCCTACTCAGGCGGCATTGTGCGGCTATACCACATCAACGAGAAGGGCTGGCGCAACATATCCAATACCGACTGCCACGAGCTGCACGACATGTTCGAGAACGAGCCGGTGAACTATGCCAACAATCCAAATATGCCCTGTACGAGCCGGGAGTGGATTCTGCATAAGGTGCGACAAGACGTACTGTCCCAAGTCGCGGCAGTTACCGCTGAAAAGGCACTCAAAGTGAAAGGTTTTTAACTAAATTGTTTGTTTTCGAATCAAGAAATTCAGATAAAAAACCCAATAATTATTTACTTGAGCTTAGATCGGCTAGTTAGCCAAAATAGATAGCCCTTTGCCGGACCTCAAGCCACAGGATGCCAGGCACTCTCTCAGTGAATACGTGCGCCTTCAGCTTAAGTAATTTTCTAATGAAACCGCCGAGGAAAAATGAGTTTAACGTCAAGGGTCGTTTGTCGTAGTGGCAAGAACGCCGCTGCCTGCCTCTCGGATGCTCTAGCGGTGTTCATTAGATTAAAAGCAATTTACAGTAAAACTTTTGCCCGCAAAATGCAAACATTCTTCTCATCTCTCCAGCCTCCGTCTCGCACACACGCACACGCACACGTGCAGCAGCTGCTGTCTCACATGTGCCCCAAATGCCGTGCAAATGTCGCCACTGCCATTTGGCGCCTTAGTCGCAAGGCGCCTGGCACGCTCCTGGTCCCACAGTCATTTGGTGTCCTCTGCCTTTTTATTTCTGGAAATTCAACAAATTTGCGGATTTGGTTTGTAATTTATTAAATTTATTGCATGCTCTACGTAAGTGAGTGTCGCTTCTCTGCTCCCATCTTTTGTGGTTGCGTCGCTCCAAGCCTCTGCTGCAACATTTGTTGATGACAACCTAAAAAGACACCAAATGCAGAAAATATCAGGAAGTGTACGTTCTCACTGCGTATACTCGATGTGGAACGCCATTTGGAAAACTCGTGTACCCATCCATCCACCTCCCTCCCACCCACACCCACACAGCTTAGAAGTTATTATTTTGATTTATAGAAAAAGTTCGTTAGCGAGCGAAAGTTGGTCGTAGATATATTGTCAGTGGGATATGTTCGCCCTGCTGTTGTGTGTTAGCCCCTGCTGCTGTTGTATTGCAGTCATTCCGGCCAGAAGTTGAGATTGTTTTATGCATTGATGCTGCTCGCCCGCTTGCTTCATTTAAATGGCTGTTGTAATTAAAAGGGGAACACGCAAACATGCAACATGTAATTGTAAACAAATGAATTTAAGACAACTGAACAAATGACACCTAAACAAGAACAAAATATAACTAAAACTCAATATCGAACTCTGTACTTTTGGCGCCTATGCGCAGGGCGCTCCCTTGGCAGGCTCCACCAGTTGCCTCTGCAGCTGATGAGCTGGTAGCACGTGGAGACGCGTATGTCGGACGCCAAGGCCTTGAGGCGCAGATTGTTGTCATTGGTCAGCAAAATCATGTGCTCCAGCTCGTCTTTCAGCTGCAGGCAACAATTAATTATGCTATCGTCTGCGCTGTCTATCTCTATGAGCTGCTCCGCATCTTCGAGCGCCGATTGCGCCTCGATTGGCTCGCGATCGTCGAACTTGTCATTCAGATACTCAATGGCACGTCTAGCCGCAAAGCTCGTCGTCTGCTTGCCTTTCAACAAGTCCAACTCTTTGATGACTATATAGGGTATGTAAAGTATGCTGCCTGCAGTGTCCCTAAGCGTCAGGTTAGCCACCTCGTCCAACAGACTGCGATTGTCTATGAGCACATTGGTGTCCAGCACAAAGTACATGTAATTCGTCTGATGCTGTGAGACTTTCCGCGTCTTATGCCTTTGCGTCTCGGTTTTGGCTTGACACTCAATGGTCTTCTTTTTGCTAGGAGCATCGCCTTTTTGATAGACTTCAGGTTTCTGTCGAGTTGTTTTTTGTGTATAACCCAATTTCGCTGAAATACTTTCGCCTTTCGTTGTCTCGCTTGCCAGGGGAAAATTAAATTTAAAGTTTTTCAACTGTTCGCTCACAGCTTTAGAGACTTTCTTCTCGCTCTCTTTATCTAGAGCCCAGACGCAGTGGCGGCTGATGCCAGGCCCAGCGAACTTTGATGCTGATTTGTATTTGTCCCAATCCAGCTTCCGTCCATCTACAATATTGTAGTCATTATGCAGGCGCTTATGGCGCTCATCGATTGCTGGCTTTATCGGTTTGCTGCCCAATTTTTGTGCCTTGAGTAGTAAGATGAGTTGGTTTAGCTGCTGCTCATAGTCGCTTGAGTTTCGTCCGAAGTGTTTTCCCGACATTTTTGTGCTGTTAAACGAACTGAGTTTAAATGTGAAATCGAATTTAAGGAAAAACTGCTGCCTTGTTATAATATATTTGCCATCAGCCCAAACACTATCATGTTGCTCACATGAATAATTGGCTTGGGCTCTGTTTAAAATGCCATCTCAATGCCCCACTGCAAATTTACAACATGTGTCAGTTCTCATTCGTTGTCAATTACACATGACACCACTTGTGCCGAACAGTAGGAAAAATGGCATTTACCCTGCCCCCGCCGCCACTTTGACTCCTGCTATGCGCATTCATCTACTCCAATTTCAACATGCTGCAAATTTGCATAAAATTATAATGCACAAGGACAACGATGTTGACGGCATATTAATTGCGGCTATCGTTTTCCACAAAATTAGCTGCTTCCACAGAAAAATGTTGCCACTGCCACATGCAATCTACTCCAATCACCCCACGTGCTTTTGCTCCCACTGCGTCTCGGCTAATATGCGCTTAAAAAGCATGCGACGATAACAAAAACTATAATTTAAATTAATTTTCAAAAGCAACAACTACAACTACAGCAACAGCAACAGCAACAGCAACAGCAACAGCAACAGCACCTGCGCCGCGGCAATGGTTGCTGTTGCCATTCCACTTTTGTCAACGAGCTCAAATTCAATGAAATTTCACACTTTGTCGTTAAAAGCCGCGCCGCTTGCCAGCAAATGGGGGAAACAGGAAAAAGTAGTTAGGCGATGGGGGCGGGGCGGTGCAGATGGTGCAGGTTAACTGGCAGGCATAAGGACACAAATATGTAAATGCATTTTACCCAGCGCACAGAGTGGATGCATGCGACGAAGCCTGCGCGGGGGAGTGCCACAGGGGCAGGCCAGTGTCGCGAGTGTTTGACAAGCAAGCGTGACTGTTGAGCTGGGAGTTGGCGGCTTTGGATGATGTGCAGCTGGAAGGCGGCATCTTCATTTAGACCACTGCCAACATACCGAACATTGATGCCAGCCTCGCAATTGTTATGATACTCTGCAGTCGTGCGGGCTATATCCAAAGCATGGCTAACAAATATATCAGTTGAGAGCCTGGCAACAGAATGTTTGCATGGAACAATTATTGTTGACTAAGTTTAAGTCAACGTAGAGGCCTTTAAGCACTACAATATTCGCATATTTACAGAGTATTGCGGAGCCGTGCCACTGACTGTTGATATTTGTTGCTGACTCCGTTGCCGCTGTCAAGGAACACGTTGAGCTGCGCTTGTATGAGTTGCAGAAACAGCTGACGAGGGAAACGGACGGACGGTCGGCGGCGGGAAATGACTATGGAAACTGTGGACGATGCCTCGTTTGGCGTTTTCATTAACGGAGCCGCCAGAGTTGAGTCGAGTCGAGACGAAGACGATGACAACAAATGCAAATGCAAATGCAGCGCCAGTGCCAGTGCCAGTGCCAGTGGCAGTGGCAGCCGGGCCAAGACACGCGCCTTTCTGACAGCAACAGCAACAGCAACAACGTCCACATTAGCAACAGCGGTAACAGCAACAGCAACAGCAACATTACAAGCTGCAGCAATCGCATCAGCAACAACAACAGCAGCTGGCAGCATCTTCTGCAGTTACAACAGCCACGGTGTCAAATGCACTTCCAATTTATCAGCTCCTGGCCTCAGACACACACACACACACACACACATGCCGTAGCTGTTGCATTTGCAACATGGGGCAACTTCAAAGCGCTGCTGTCGCTGTGCATTTTCCATTTATTGCCACACTTCGAAGGCGGCAACTGCATATTAGTCGCATATCTGTTGAAATTCACGGCAATTAGTTGCCATGTTATTGTTGTTGCGCACTTAATGGAAATTTGTTATCGCTTGGTCTAATTATATGACGGCAACGTTTACAGCACAGCTACCAAAACTGAATCTAAGTGACTTGACTAGCTATTAGTTATGGAATGATTGCAGCGAGTCTGCGCTGATGATATGTGAGTCAAAGTAGCTTTAATCAGGCGCTCGCTTCCACTGCTCTTCAGCTGACTCATCAATTTTAATGGCTTTGGTTAAGCTGCTGGTTTTTGCAACTTATCGTTCAGCATTTGGTCGTTTGTCATATCCGGAATAACTCTTTATTTTCGGTGCTTTTTTTGGCAAACGCCAAATTGTGTCACAACTATTTCATTATCCGCTCATTCCGTTCGAGACAAAGCGGCGACAGCCATCCGCCCAGCCCAGCCCAGCGCATATGGCCAAAAGGGCTCATTGCAGCACATTTTTGTGCAAATCCTTGTGATTGCAATGAATAATATTTTTAATGCAAATAACCGGAGGAACGTCAAGCAGGCAGCCGGGCAGAGTGGCAGCCAGGAGGCTAGAAGGAGGGACGCTCAATGTTGGCCGGGACGACAAGTTGACAGGCCCGTTGACAGCGAACGCGACAGCGAGAACGACGATGAGGAGGCTGCCAGCCCAGCCCAGCCCAGCCAATGGCAAGTAAAAGCTCGCCCACATTTCATTCGTTTTCTTTTCCATTTCAATTGTCGTCAAGATTGTAGCAAGTATCCCCCGTCAACCCGCCGCTGACGACCTCCAGAGCCATTCGTTGGCGCAATGAATCGTCCATAGTCCGGTAATGAAATTTTGCTCATTGTTTCACTACGTTCGAGGCAATTTTTAACTGAATGCCAAAGTTCTCGAGCTCAGTTTCGGCTTCATTTCACCAGCAAATCGCAAAGCTTAAAGATTCACAAGAGATTTCAACTTCTACAGATATTAGTTTATAAATATTCAGTATACAATTAAGTTGATATTTTGTTGATTCCTTGTCGATTTGGATTGTCGAAACAAATGGCTGCAAGAATTCATGCACATATATTTACTTATGTTTGGTCGCTCGGCTCTCTGTGCTCATCTTTTATGCTCATCGGCTTGTCAACATTGTCATCGTTGTCGTCATTGTCATCTGAAATTCATTACGTTCTCTCTGCTTGAATGTGGCTGATGGGCGTGTCCATGGACAACTAGTACCAGCACTTTATTATTATTCATAGCAAGTAATTTGTTATCTGTGTTGCTTTCATTGTTTTTAGCCTTATGCTATTAATTTGTTTGTTGCAAAATGAAATTGCACTTTTGCATGTGTCGTCGTTTATTCTAGAAATTTAGGTCAGATCCCTTTATAATAAGCAAATGTGTTTAGTAGACAAAGAGAGAGAGAGAGAGAGAGAGAGAGAGAGAGAGAGATAGATAGAGAGAGAGATAGAT